TATATATATAGTTGCCAATTAATTTCTTTGTATTTGTAGTAGAGACGGGGTCTCGCTCTTGCTCCGGCTGGTTTCGAACTCCTGACCTTGAGCAATTCACCCGCCTCAGCCTCCCAGAGTGCTAGGATTACAGGCGTGAGCCACTGTGCCCGGCCTCATTGAATCTTTACCTCTGCCTTTTAGGTCAGTGCTATTATTATAACCATTTTACAAATCAGGAAATTGAACCTCTAAAAGATTAACTGTTTTGCCCAACAATATATAGCTACATGATGGTAGAACTAGTTAGTGTTCGAAAACAGGGCCACCCAACTGTGGAATTCTCCTTCCTAATCATTGTTCTGATTGGGGGCACAGATTATTAGAGTTAGACCTTGGCTGAACCCCCTGTTCTAGACATGAAGAAGCAGTGGTCCTGGTAGATTAAGGATCTGCTTAAAGTTACATGTGTCTTCACCCACAGAATGAGACTTGCTTCCACATTGCATCTCCCAGCTGGAGAAAGCCTGGAATGAGTCTTGGTATTTGCCTATAAATTTACAGAGGAATATCTTTTAAAAGTTTGAGTAGAGAATATCCATGCTATGTTAAGTGGCATCTTGACAAACTTGTACTCATGAACCCAATTATGAGGTTATCTATTAAATCATAAGAAACATTTCTAAGAATTTGCAAACTAGCCATATATTTCAGTAGGAATCTCCAATTCCACCTGGCTCTGTTCTGATAAGAGCAAACCTGGAGCAATATCTGTTTCATAATAGTATATTTATCTCGAGCTTTCAGGGGAGTCATCTCTGAAAACCTCATAAACAGGAAGTTAACTGCTATAATAAGCTGATGGTGATAGTGCAGGTTTTATTACTTTTGTTTTGGTTGCTTTCCTTTTCTTCTCTTTTTAAGAGTTCCACAAACCACACTGAATGTTAACAATCCATTAGCTCTAAAGGAAACATTTTTAGCTCAAGATAATTCCTTTTTCCTCCCAAATCTGAACCTGTAAACACAAAAGCTCTTTGTCTTAGAAAAAGACTTAGCATGAGTTGTTTCCACAAGATTAGCCCTATTGATCTGAAGCACCTGTGCTTCTAGAAAATGTAGGACAGTATCAATTTTTAACATTTGTCCAGGAAGCTGTGCTTGGACTGATGTTATTTATCCAGCTGGGTATACTGACCAGGACAGAGAAGATCAAAGTAGCTGGGGATTGTGTAACATCTAAGATTGGCCCTGATAATCAATCAAGCCTGCAGCATATGGACCTGATTACAAAACACCATCTTACATGTTCTTTCAGGATGCTGATAAAGGGGGAAGGCAGTGCTAACTGTAATGCCATAACCCACTTCAAGGATTCCTGGGACCCTTTTTTTAAGGCCATTCTGTTGTTATGCTTAGTTTTCCAGATGGTGAGCACACACAGAAGGCACAAGATGAAAAACCTAACATGCAATTTGCATCAATGAGGCCCTTGGGGTGGTTAAGAGAACAAATAAAAAGGGGTGTGGGAGGGGGTGAGTGGAACTGTGTGTGCCACCCCCAGGTGGGCCTGCTCTGGGGTGGGGAGGGGGAGGGAGGCTGTGCAAATGCATCCGCATTCCTGTCCCCTCTGCCTGCTCTCACTGCAGTGGCAGGAAGGCAGCAGGGAACACACAGAAAACACTCATTAGAGGAAACAGCTCCTTCAGTCCCAGCATTTAACCTTGGGTGTTCAGGGAACACACTGGGGCTGGGGGTGAGACGGGCCAAACAGGAAGAGGGAAAATACAAGATGGTTTGGCAAGAAACGCAAAAATGGAAAGAGTCCTGAAAAGTTTAAAAATAAAAATAAAATCAAAACCAAAAACCACAGGCTGCATTTACCTGAGAAGTGAGAAAGTGAAGGAAGTAATTTAAACTAGAACAATGCAAAAGTGCCAGGCAGTGCAGGGAGCTCCCACTGCCTTCCCCAGCAGGACTGCAAGGGTGGGAGGATCCATTCAAACCAGGCACCTCCAGGCTTGGCACAGGATTGCTCTCTCAATGACGCCTGGCCTCGCCCAGCTGCTTGGAAAGGTGCTTGCACAAAGGTAGGAGGGAAAGCATTGCAGAGAACCTGCTGGCATGCCTCTTCCCTTTCTGAGTTTGAATGCTTCTCAGAGAACTTTAAAGGCTGATGGCTAAATTTAATCAGGGTTAAATCATTGAAATGAAGATGATGCTCTTATGCAACACAGATGAGAAGTGATTCTGCCACTGCTTTCCCTATAAGGTAATGAATGGTACAGGCTCCCAGGGGCAGCCTGGCAGTTTGGTAATGTTATGAATTCAGGGGAGGCAGGAAATGTGAAAGTCTCGTTCATTGCTAATATTGTCTTCTGGGGATTTTGGCCCGAAGGTTAAGCAGGCAGGGTTCCACAGCTGGCACTGTGAAATGACCAAGCACTTGCTCACTCTCAGTTCAGTAAAATTCTTCGTACATGGCATCCTAACTGCATTCTTTATTTAAGACAGAGGTTTTCTCTAAGGAACTCCAAATGCTTTCTGCAAAGGAGCTTGCATAAACAACCAGGGACTTGGACTGAATGAAACATTAGTTTGTTTCAAGGTAGTTTGGCAATCTGATTGTGTGCCAGTTTAGTCATTTTAGAAAATACACAGATCCAGTTCTGATTCAGACTGGCTTACCACCTGGTTTATTTTTCTTTAAAAATAAATGTTAAGTCAACAGTGATAAGACACGTATGCTCGATATGATGTGGTAAGAAGGGCACTTTACTTTTTTAGTTGTCCTTCCAAACACCCATAACATCTGTCTAGACATGAGAAAAACAAAAGATAAACCCAAATCGAACAACATTCTATAAATTACCTCACCAGTACTCCTCAAGGTCACCCAAAACAAGGATAGTCTGAAAAACTGTCACAGTCTAGAGGAGCCTAAAGAGAGATGATAACGAAATGGAATGTGGTCTCTTGGATGGATCCTGGAACACCAAAGCATGTTAGGGAAAAACTAAGAAAATCTGAATATAGTATAGACTGCAGTCAATAATAATGTATCAAATTTTGGTTCCTTAGTGGGGACGAGTGTACCATAGTAAGATGTTAACAATAGCAAACTGGATGTGGAATATATGGAAACATTCTGTACTTGCTACCTAATTTTCTATAAATTTAAGCTATTTTAAATTACATTTTTATTAAAAAATAAATGTCACAAGTTAGTTTGGCTGATAGTTCTGCAAAACCAAGAATTTGAATCCATTTCAGGTTTCCATTCATGGTTGGTTTAGACTCCTGTTCCCAGAGTCTCATTATTTTTGATATTTTACCAAAAGGAAAATTGAAACATAAAGATAGGGCTAAACATAAGTTGTGGGGTGATGAGATGAAAGAGAATTTCTCTTCTAGAACTCATTTACCTGGTTCTGCACTCAAGCACCTAGCCTCTGGACCTTGCCCAACTACCTTCTGCCAAGATGCTGGCTAATAAATGAGTTTCTGGTGTTATTAACCCTTTTTAAGGGTTTACATATTTTAATAGGATATTTTGGAAAGGGAAAATGGGTGCTGAAGAATGATTTCATATTCGTGGAATTTTCAATAACGAAGATGGTTTCATTGATCCTCAAGCCATTCCTACTCATTGGGCCAGACCCGTACTCAGACAACACGGGGTCAGCCAGTTACTACTAGGGCAGTGGCCATAAATTCTGATGCTTAAAGTCATGACTTCCTAGAGATGATTGGGAATAACATGACTTCTTGTCTCAAGTATGTAAGATGCAGTCAGTGTGGGAGTGAGTCCTAGAGCCAGTGATAGCAGGAGGCCAGCCTCTGATGACCTATACTTTGCTTTTTTGGTCTTTAATAGCTTGAGACATTGCTGCCAGGTATCTGACCAAACTCTGCAACTGCTGTAATGAGAAAGTGATGGACTCTGGTCTCAAAGTCATGTGTTCAAGTCCCCATTTCCAAGTTTGCCATTTCTTGGCTGCGTGGCCGAGGTCAGCTACTTAATTTTATTAATCTTCAAGTTTTTCATCAGGAACAAGTCTGATAATTATCCTACCTTGAAGGATTGCTGCAGAGATTAACTAGGTTGAGTGTGTGAGAGCCCTTTGCCTAGTGTCTGGAATATAGTAAGTGCTGAGCAAATGTTCTTTCTCCTTCCCCTCCTTCCTTTCTCACAGAGCCAGGGACAGTGGGGACAGGCACAGCCTGGGCAGCTCAGCCTCTTTGACAAATAGTTCTCTCTGTTCTCACTAGATTAGCATTTCTAATAGGATCAAGAATTCTTCCAATTCATTGATTATTAATCCTGAGGTTTGCAAATAATCTCTCAAGAACTTAAGGATCTTTCAGGGTTTACACTTATGTATGATTATTTTGTTGTTTTTCAGTGGAGAGGTCCAATTTTATCCTGCCAGAAATTGTCTAGGTGACCCTCTTGCTGGACAATTAAAGTTAATTGAGCCCAGGAGCTATGCAAAGTAGATTGTTTAAAACAACACAGGCACCAGTCTGCTAATAGAATGCTTTGCAGCAAAAGATGCCACTACTGAGATTCTCTCAATAGAACTGTGGGAACAAATAAGGAATAAGGCACCTAAGAAAGCTAAGAGTGTTGGGAAGAAGAGAAAATAGAAGAGGAAGCAAGCAGGTAAGGTCAACAGGAAGAGATCCCTCCACACAGGGTCTGGAGGTGAAAATGCTGAGGAAAGCTTTTTCTGAAACCCAGACTCTGAAGATCAGGGGCTTTGAAGAGAAACATTTCCGAATGTACAGGCCATTTATATTTCTGGATGGCAGCCGCCTTCACAGTATATGTATTTCCGTTATTAACACATTAAGTGTCCTAGGTGTGTCTGTTACACACCTGGCCTAAGAGTGTAGCCTGGTGGGGACTGTACAGTTTCCCTCTGACATAAGAAAGCTTTTGTCTCTCTGTGCACCAAACCAGCACTAAAGTGAAATGACCACACTTTCATTGTTATTATTATTCACAGTCTGTATTATTACATAACAGTGACAACTGTCAAGCAATCCCATTTGGACCAAACATGAGTTTGAGGAATTCCAGAGAGATCATTCCAGATTTGACCCAAAGAGTCTTCTGAAATATTAGGTGGGAGAAAGAAATGAATGTTCTTGGTTTTACTACCAAGGGTCCTTTGCTATTTGCTATTTGGGTACATTATTTTAGAAAACTTTTTAATAAAACAGTTTTAACTGTGGTGGAAAAATTTAAAAATAAGGACAAGCTAAAAAATTAATAAATACTACTCATTATCTCATTAACTGAGGGTAAGGCAATTAACATCGCTGTTTTCTTTTTCTTTTAAAGTTATGTTTACATTTTAAATATGAAAGTATAATAGAAAATGTGAATAATAGAAAAAAGAAGAAGAGAATTCATAATCATTCTACCTTAACTACTGTCGTAATTTGGGTATATTATTTCCTTAGATTGTTTTTCATCTCTATGAGTAATAGCCCTCCTTTAACATGGGAGCAATCAAACTTTATAAACAAACTTAGTATAATGACACGTTCACTTGAAATTGTCACAAGGTTTTTCAGGGTTACAAGTTTTCTCTTAAAAAATTCTCATTTCTAAACAGTGCTCTAATATCACATAGTTACAATGTTACTTATATGACATTATTCCCCTATAGTTGGGATTTAGTTTGTTTTCAGATTTTGTTATTAGAAATATCATTATGTCAATAGTACCACTATAATAAAATTTTTTTTAATTTTTTTTTCTTGAAGACAGAGTCTCATATTGTTGCTCAGACATGAGGGTAGTGGCATGATCATAGTTCACTGCAACTTCCAACTCCTGGGCTCAAGCGATCCTCCTGCCTCAGCCTCCTGAGTAGCTGGAACCACAGGTATGCATCACTACGCCCAGCTAATTTTTCTGTTCTTGTAGAGATGGGGTCTCGCTATGTTGCTCAGGCTGGTTTTGACCTCAAGTGATCCTCCTGCCTCAGCCTCCCAAAGTGCTGGGATTATAAACAGGAGCCACCATACCACACCCTAATACAGTTTTTAAAAGATCCTGGAAGTGGTATGATTGTTATCTCAACTTGTTTCTGTTTATTTAACAAATATTTACTGAGTGCTTTGACATATGCAAGGTGCTGGGACATCTAACTGAGTAACATGTAGACGCTGTACTCAGGAGACTGTAGTCATATAGTGGAGACAGATACTTATACAATGCATTTTAATGCACCTTGAAAAGTTCTATAATAGAAGTCAGTGCCAGGATCTACTATACAAAAATCATTTGCACCGTACTTGGCACATAGTAAATGCTCAGTAACAAAATGTTAATGATGATGACTGTAGACACCACATTCCCGATAGAATCATTTAAATGGCAGTTTCCATCATTCACATTTATAGAAAAATAAAATCAAGAGAGCAACAAAATTTTCCATGAATTATAAAAATCAATTATGACCCATATGTGTCTAGGCTATGCCAGCAAATAGCAAAGATTATCAAGTCCCTTCTAATCACTAAGACAAAGTTCCCTATAGAACAGAAACTACTTCCATAGTGATGTTCTAATGGGATGTCAGCCCAGCTTAAATGCTGTCACAGAGTGACTTTGCCCTTCTAAATATGCCATGGGTCATATAGAGCTATTTTCAGATAAGAGATAAGTTAATTTAGCTACACTTTCTATTTCTTAAAAAATTAAAATATCCATATAACTTTGGGAACCAGGACAGAGAAAGGAACTCTAAAATTTTCCATAGATAGGATTTTTTGCATTTAATTCCTGATTCCCACCACTGCCTTCAGCAGCCAGGTCCACAGACCTGAACAATGGTTAATGTTTAGAAAGGTACAGCATGTTCTGGTTAACAGCTCTGCTCATTTCCTCTTCCTGATGGTGCTGCTGTGATTGCAGGACTCAAGTAAGGGCTTTTCATTACATGAGAATACATGAGAAATGATGCTCAAATCATAATAAATGCGAGATTAAATTTGCTTGAAAATAAGGAAGTTGAAGCCTTAAGGAAAAACTTGAATTGGCTTGGACCTCTGCAAGGGTAGGCTTACTGTAGTTTGTGGAAATAAACCACAGCTACCACTGCACTGTGTGTAAGAATTGCAGGCAGGAAATGAAGGAAATGCTGCATTAAAATGAAAGCACAGCAGGATTTAAATAAGCCGAATATAAATTCTCTGGTGAGAATTTGATCACTGCTGGCATTGGCTCGCCCTCCCATCTACAATAGTGGAAAGAATTACATGTTCTGCCCATCAAATCCAGAATACAAAGTGCTCTCAGTCCTCCAACTATCCTCCTTCCTCTTTATTAATCTCATTTCTCATTAATCCTCTGTATGATGTTCCATGAGAGCCAGCTCAGTGCAGCTACTGACATTTCCCAGAAATGGTATGCCCAGTCCTCTTCCTACCAATCCAATTCATTCTACTTCCTTCAAACTTTATGCAAAGCTCAACTCATCTGAGAAGCTTTTCCTGATGACCTTACGGTCATTCCTTGTCATTGCAAACCCTCGGTAGCTGTTTGTCGATTGATTTGCTCACTGACTGTGAATTTACTTGTGCCCGGCATTGGGCTTGGTGCTGGGGCTACACCGATGAGTAAATCCCAGTCACTGCCCTCATGGAGGTCACAGTTCACATGAAAAAAACATCCTAATAAAATGTGATAAGGGCAATGGTTAGGATTGGCATGCGGAAACACAAAGACATTCATCTTCTGGGATACCAGAAGGCTTCCTAGAAAAGCTGATGCCGGAGTTGAGTTTTCTGGGATGAGTAGACTTTGGGCAGGTGCAAGGTGGGGCAGGCACAGGCGGCGTATGTGGTAGGTGGTGGGCCAGGAACAGAGGAGGTGGGCCCTGTGTGCCATGTTATGCTTGGGTGTAGTAGAAGCTTTCACTTGATGAGAAGTTCTCCGAATTTGGGTTCTTTTCCTACAATTGACTTATAAGGTCTTCCAGCGACCATGTTCTATTTTGCATTCTTCCCCATGAGTCTGTGATTTCAAAGACTTTGTTTTGCCATCCTGGGAAATATGTTGCCAACTCACTGACAACGTCCTGGCCACTCTGCCCACCAGGGCTATCAAGACTCTTTGTGGCCATGGAAAGATGTGTCATGCTTCCTGCCACAAGCCTTCCATCAGCTGCCAGGATAGGCCCAGGAAGATATGCTGGTCTGACCAAAGTAGACACGTGCTAAGTGGAGAAACTATGCAAACCACATATCTAGTAGCCCCCCATCAAATATCATCTCTCTGCTACTTCATATTCTTAGCCTTTGCTGTGATAATTTAAATTTGACATTCAAGAAGCTATGCACCAATATTTCTATTAGGATTTCATTGGATAATAATAAAAGTCACTAAACAAGTTTGGAATGGATTTTCTAATCACCCTACAGAAACAGAAAGTAATCATTTTTAAAAATTAAGATCTCAAAATTGATGTGGTTGATACCTTCTATTGATGTGGTTGCTGCCTCAAAAGTTGCCAATTCTGGGTGATTCCCTGTCCTCTCTTGATACATCTGATTTTATTTAAAGGTGGAAATAGTTAGTGGACAAACAAGCCAGTGCCTTTGGAGCCTTTGCGAGCTTTGTTGAGTCCCTCTGCTTCACAATGAGAAAGTTGGATCCCTCTGATTGAGGTTGAGGATATGTGTGCATTGTTTCCGGCCTCATATTTGGCCCGTAGGTAAACAGACCTCCATATTTCCAAGCTGTCAAATTGCCATCTTTCATGGATGGTTAAATCCCAAACCCTCCCCCGCCACCTGGGGTCAGGGGGGGAGGAGGGAGGAGAGGTAGAACAACAACAACACCACGGTAAACTCAAACCCCCAGAAAGATAGAAAAAAAGCACCAAGCCAGTTTTACAGGCTCTTTTCTTCCAAAGCTGTCATTTCAAGGTTATGGCTTTAAAATTACAGAGGAGGCAGCCTTGCACCTGAGCCCTCCTTAATGGAAACAGTCAGGATCTAGCCTGCCTCTGCAAAGAAGAAAGGAAAACCCTGGAACATGAAGCCAGCTAGAGAATTCTAGTCACTGAACAGCAAAGCTTTTAGAACTACCAAGTAAAATACATGGGAACTTTGCTTCCAATGAGCCAGCAGCAGGGCCTAAATCATACTTGAGTGTGAAAGTGAAACTGACGGCCTGTTTTAAATTCCCCAAGCAGAGTTTCCAAACCCTGGTGGTATAATAACAAGCAAACACCCCACGAATGAGACAAGTAAAAGCCACTTCCAAACCCAAGGATGTATCACCGAGGAGGAAGAAAGGCAAGTAGTATTTCCTTATTCAGTTAAACTTCAAGGTACCCAGGTCAAGTAAGCTATTTCCAACATATTAGAACTCGTATATGAATACTTTGGGAAAGGAAATAATATTTCTCAAGTGGCTTTTACTCCAAGCCTCTGTGTTCTTATTCATCTATTAGTGATATTAATACTTAACTCAAAAGATAGTTAAAAAGATGACATAAGATTTTCAAGTCCTCACACAGTAGACACATAAAGGCAATTTGCTTTCTCCTTCACGTCTGCTATTCTGACTCCTTGTCAGTTGGTTATATAACCAATTCATAGTGTTTCTTTGTTCACCTTTCCTTTCCTTTCCTTTCCTGGCAGGGTCATGAAAACTTGCAGAAAAAAGAAACCTTTTCTGATATGCCACAGAGGCTATGCACAGTGGGAGTTCAATGGATATTTGTTTCTTACCCACAACCAACTGCTTCACTCTCTTCTGACTTTTCCTCCCTCCCAGTCACATGTGAAGGATGATGGGAAAGTATAAGATGGTTTTCAATGCTTCAGTGGCCTTTGCCCACATTTAAAAACAACAGTCCAATGGGAATGGAGCTAAAAGGGGAAGGTATTTCTTAACATATGTTGACCTAATTAAGGAACAATGCTTGAGTTTCCCAAGCAGGACAGCATTACTGGAGAGATTACCCTCTAAATGGCCTTTTAAGTATAGTCCCAGCAAAATGTAAGTTCAAAGAAAGTATCTATCCAAGAGGGCATTTTACAGATAACTCTGCAAAGCTTTACTGAACATAAGTCTCTAATCTGTTGCAAAATACCAGCACCCTTGTAGCTGCCTTATTGATACTATCAGCTACCAGACAGGGAATGCTTGGGGAGGTTTGAACTGCTATAGATAGACGTCCATAGATAGATTCAGAAAGACATTCCAGATTACCCACTTTTTCATTTCACAGATGAGCAAGCTGAAGCCAGAGATGTTATGATCTGCCCAAGATGACAAGGCTAGTTAAAGGTTTAGCGAGATGGATGAACTCATGTCTAAAGGCTTCAGATCATCCATGTATTTTATTTTATTATTATTTAGAGACAGAGTCTCGCTCTGTTGCCCTGGCTATAGTGCCGTGGTGTCAGCCTAGCTCACAGCAACCTCAACTCCTGCACCGAGCGAAACTCACTATTCTGCTTCCGGTCTACTCATAAGGAACTGCAGGCATAATCACAGTCGCCTACAATGATGTCCTTAATCACTCATATATTTTCTATTCCATTAACCACATATATTAAAATGGCTACCTATTACCTGTGCTCCTCTTAAATTCTATACATTCTATTTTTAGTCTAGAGACAGTTTTCACTATGACTCGAACCGTGCCAGTGTTACAGAAACTCCTGATGTATCTAGAATGACAAATCTATGCCAGCATAAGAGCTACCCAGTATGGGTCTTGCTAAATGATTAATTAATGGCATTAAGAATATATAAAACATGACCCGCATCTGAGTAAAAAGATCCACTGAAAACAACCCTTTAATTAATAGAAACTATTAATGAATAAATTTTATCGCATATAACAAGATCACCAACATTCAT